TTTTTGGTCTTTTTGAGACAGGGTCTCCTTGTAGCCCCAGCTGTCCTGAAACTCACTATGTAGACCAGGCTGGCCTTGAACTCACAAAGATCTGCCTGCCTCTGCCTCCCAAGTGCTGGGATTAAAGGTGTGTGCCACCATGCCCGGCTTTAAGACCTTTTTTTTTAAGGGCTGGAGAGATGGCTCTGTGGTTAAGAGCACTGGCTACTCCTGCAGATGACCCGGGTTCGATTTCCAGCACCCACTTAAAGACCTTTTGAGACAGTGTAGCATGTGATCCCGGCCAACCATGAACTGGTGATCCTTCTGCCCCAGCCTCCCAAATGCTGGGATTACAGGCATTCACCATCACCTGGGTTCTATCAAAGCCTTTGACCCTGCCAATATGTGGGTCATTGGAAGTTGGCCATTGAAGCTTAAAGATAGGTATACAGCTGTAGTGTATGCATGTGACTGACAAATCTGCAAATTGTTAATTATTTTCAGGTTTTACCTAACCCAAAAACAGAGGTTTCAGGCGTACCTAAGAAAAAGAAGAGGAAGGGAGTTTCAAGGGCCACTGCTAACACACCTGAAAAGTCTGTGGATAGTCAGGTGAGACCATCCTTGTATTCTGGGCACCAGGCATTAAGAGAAATAACTGGAAGATGGAAAGCAGCTTCCGCTACTTTATTCTGTTAGGATTTCAGTGGATTGGGCCCAGGAGATGTCTCAGGGATTAAAGGGACTTGCTGCCAAACCTGACAACCTGAGCTTGATCCTGGGACCCACTCGGTAGGAGAGAACAACTTCTAGCACTTGTCCTGATCTACGCACGCTAAGGCACATGTAATGAGTGTAATTTTAAAATTTATTTTATTTCAAGCAGCTGAAGAGATGGCTCAGTCATTTAGAGCATTTGGTGCTCTTGCAGAGGACCCAGGTTTAGTTCCCAGCATCTACATGGAGGCTTAAACCATTTATAACTCCAGTTCCAAGGGATTTGACTCCCTCTTCTGGTCTCCAAGGGACTCAGTCATGTGGTGCAGGCAAAACACTCATAAAATATATAAATGTTTTAAATACATATTTCAGTGGCAGGGGGAGGGTGTTTTGTTTTATTTTGGTGCTTTGAGACAGGATCTCATGTAGCCCAGGCTGGCCTAGCTCCTGATCTTCCTGCTTCTACCTCCCAAATGCTAGTGTTATGAGAATATACCATCATATCTGGCTAGATCCCAAACTGAATCTTGTGACATTTTTGGTAGATTCTTAACTGCTGATTTAGCAGTTTTGTGTTTGGTCGGGGTGGGAAGGGGGCTGTCTGGAAAATGGTTCAGCAAGTGTCCAAACTCCTAAATATCTACAATCCTGTCATCAGAAGATAAAAGCACATGGAAAATCTTACATGGCACAACTTGGACAAACTAGGAGGGCAGTTTCTTGGGTAGTCATGCCTGTTACCCTTCCTTCTACTTCCCTGAGTTATTCTTCCTGTTGATTTCAGGGCCCTACACCAGTTTGTACACCAACATTTTTGGAGAAACGGAAATCAGACATGACTGAAGCAAATTATGATAAAGATGATGAGATCATTTTTAGGCAGCCTGTGTCCACAGTCAAAGAAGAAAGGCAAGAGATGCTGACACCTGCACGCTCTGGGAAGAAAAGACGGAGGAAAAGGAAAAGCAGCCAGTGATCCTAAACATATTTGTATAGCATATTTTCTGGGAAAATGTGACATTTTAAGGAAGGGCCAACTATATTTTACTAGGTACAGTGAGATGCAAGCACTGATGAGACTTTGGGAAGAAAAGCTTTCTGTTTATTCATTCATGACAGTGAGGAAGGCCATCAGTAACTAAACTGGCCTATCTTTAAATACAGGGGTATACTCCAGCCTGCAGAGGTGAGGTTTGCTCTGCCCTTGTCCTGGTCTCCCCTGGTTTTCTGTTCAGGTTCCATAGCTCCCCTATATGAAAAGGATCACCATGAACTGCAGGCCTAAATGTCAAGCTGCAGCCTTTTGGCACTACTAGTGCTATTTAACTGTGTAGTGATTATGCACACAAAGCCCACAAGGTAAGGATGTGTGAGGCTTCAGCCTCAGATACAGGGAGTGAGAAGGCTGTGCAAGTGTTAATATGAATGTGTTGATGCATTCAAGTGATTATACAAATTCACACATAATAAATACTGTGTTAATTTTAGGTGGGCTAGCATGATTTTATGGGTCCGGTTTTGAATCAATACAAAATTCAAGATTTGGTGATAAACTTTCCTACCATTTATTTGTATACAAGTAGAACCTGGGACCCTTGGGCCAAAACTAAGAAATTTCTTCACCTGTTTGTGTTTTTTTGTTTGTTTTGTTTTGGTCTTTTTTTAAGACCAGGTCTCCCTGGAGCCCCAGCTGGCCTGGAACTCGGCATGTAGACCAGGCTGGCCTTGAACTCACAGAGATCCGCCTGACTCTGCTTTCCTAGTGCTGGGACTAAAGGTGTGCGCCACCATGCCCAGCTGTCAGCTGTTTTTGTTGTTTTTAAATTTCTAGTGTCCTTGAAATCTTTCTGTTACTAATCCAGATTTATTAAAATACCTCATCGCCATTAAGCTTTTTTACATCCAGTTTCAGGGTGTGAGTATATGTGCATATGCAGAAGCCAGAAGAGGAGGAGGACATCAGTATCCTGCTTTATCACACTCCTTATTCTCGAACCTAGAGCTAGGCTTACAGCCGCATAATACTTTTTTTTTTTTGGTCTTTTTGAGACAAGGTCTCCCTGTAACCCCAACTGACCTAGAATTCACTATGTAGAACAGGCTGGCCTAGAACTCCAAAGATCTACCTGCCTCTTGCTTCCTGAGTGCTGGGATTAAAGGCATGTGCCACCATGCCCAGCTACATATATTCTAAATTGTTTTTTTGTAATGTGATAAGATGCTGTTGCAAAATGCAAAGTGGGACTAGAGCAGCCTTTAAGAGCACTGGCTGCTCTTTCAGAGGAGCCAAGTTTGATCCCCGGGCCCATGGTAGCTAACAACCACCTGTAACTCCAGTTCCAGGAGAATCCAGCCCCTTCTGACATCTTCAGACAATATATGACATGGGTGTGCTTACACATGCAGGCAGTACATGCATACACAAAAAATAATAAAATATTTTTAAATGCAAAACAGTTGGTCTAAGGATATACAAAGAGCAGATTAGACTTGAAATAGTTCCAGATCTGTAGTTCTGTTTGGTGAATGAACAGGTGGGTAACAACTGCCTCCTTTTGAACTGGATATGATTATTTTCCTGGGAAAGCATCAGCTAAGCTGCATCCATACAAAACTCCCTTTTCATGGTCCTGAGGGCAAATGCACTCATTCAGACATAGGTGATTCTTTGTCCCTCCTTAAGAGCATGCCACTCACCCACCCCTTACTTATGTGCCATTTTGAGCACTTAATCTGTATGATGTTTTACTGTGTGTATGCATGGAAGTCAAATGACAACTTTGCAGTCAGTTCTAACCTTTATGTGGATCCCAGGACTGGACCTCAAGTCAGCAGGCTTGCACAGCAAGTTTTTACTTTCTGAGCTGTCTTGCTAACCCTGGACATTTCTATTATAAGTAATTTGCGTGATTACAAAAAATATTTTTCAGTGGGGTAGATTCAGTTTTTTGCCTTTTATGTAAGAAAGTCTGGAGGGAATCCCTTCAGCCAATAAAATGTTGAAGGTGTGCAGTAATATGCCAATAAGGGGAGAATACAACTCAAAAGTTGGAATTAGCTTGACCACAACTCTGTAATAAATTGTATTTTTATGGAAATACTGGACTATTAATGCTATGGAGCTGGTAATTTTTAAAAAATTAATACAGAACAAATACCTTATAAAGGAATCAATCCACAGGTAGGGTTCAGTTGGAGTCAGACACTTAAGATGCACACTGGCCATTACTTGAACTTCAATGCACCCATGGGAAACAGCAAGCACCTTACTGATCGAGTCATCTCCCCAACCCCATTTTTTTGTTGTTGAGACAGTGTCATGTACCCCAGGTTCACTACGTAGCGGAAGATAACTGCACTCCTGATCCTCCTGCCTCCACCTCCAAGCACTGGGGTTATGCCCCCATCCCAACACCCCTTTTTATTGAGACAGGTTCTCCCTGTAGCCCCAGCTGGCCTTGCTCTCAAAGATTACCTGCCTCTGCCTCTCAAGTGCTGGGATCAAAGGCATGCGCCACCACGCTGGCTCCAACACACTTTTTTTTTTTTTTCAATCCTGAGGTTTGGACCAGTGCCATGCATTGAGTTATATCCCCAACCCTATAAAGTCATTGTTGATGACTAATATTTGAATTACAAGTAATGTCAGTCTGCTTTATATACTAACTGCTGTTTGAAGTTAAGTAATAACCAAACCCACATGTGTTTGGAGAGGAAGTGTCTATTGTGTGTGAGTGCAGGAGAGACTTCAGGTGTCACATTCCCCAGAATTGGGAGTTACAGGGAGTTTGAGCTGCCTGATGTGGATGCTGGGAATTGAACTTGGGTCCTCTGCAAGAGCAGTATGCACCCTTAACTGCTAAACCGTCTCTCCAGTCCTTTTGAAGATATGATTTTCTATCATACTTTATGAACAACAGTAGTTACATAATTATCATGTGTGTGTATGGATATGTGTATATTAATGTGAATGCAGGTGTCCTCAGAGGCCAGAAGAGGGCCTGCATTAGATCCTTTGGACATGGGTGCTGGAAACTGAACAAAGGATTTGTGCAAAAGCAGTAAGATTTCTTAACCACAGAACCATCTCTCCCAAAACAAAAGGTTTTAATTACTTTTTCTAATTGGGTCGAAGTTGAGTTCTTTTGGAATATAAAAATGGTCTTTGCTACTTCAGTACCCAGAAAGTCGAATTAATGTATCCACCATGAAAAAGCAGACAATGATGGAGTTGAAACTAGAAAACAAAACTAGCTTTGTATCTTTTTCAAGATTCATGTCCTTTTACCTGCATTCCATCCTTCCTATCACCTTGATCTTTCTAAATATTAAGCTATATACACTTACACCTGTTTACATCGATACATGTATACACGATAGGCTAGGCTCCACATACAAGGAAAGACATGTTTTTGTCATTTTGAATCTGGGTCACCTTGCTTAATATACTTAAGGTCCATCTGCTTTTCTGTATATTGTATGTGTGCTACATTTCGTTATCCATTCATCCTAATGGATATCTGGACTGGTTCAATTTCCTCATTATTAGAGCAGCAATAAATAATAACTATCTTGGTAGTAGGATATGGATTCTCAGGAATGAAAATAGTTGGGTCATATGAGTGGTGGCATGAGAATGTCCCCCATAAGCTTCAAGTATTTGAACAGTTGGTCCCCATTTGGTGGTGCTGTTTGGGGAGGGTCAGGGAACCTTTAGAAGGTATGGCCATGCTGGAGGAAGCAAGTCAGTGGGGGCAGACTTTTAGCACGTAGAGCCATGCCCACTTCCAATCTGCTCTGCTCCCTGTGCCTGCTTGAAGATTTGAACACTCAGCTTTCAGCTCTGGCCACCTCTGCTGCCATGCCTTCTCACCATAATGAACTTACCCCCTCTGGAACTCTAAGCCAAATAAATTCTTCCCTCTATAAATTGCCTTGGTCATGGTGTTTTATCACAACATCAGGAAAGTTAACATGGTAGCTCTAGTTTTAATTTTTGGAGGATCCTCCAAACTGAGTCCATAATGACTATTAACTTAAACTCCCAGCAGTAACAAATAAGGGTTCCTCTTTTTCCACATCCTCTCCAACATTTGTCATATTTTTTTAAAGAGTGTGTGTGTGTGTGTGTGTGTGTGTGTGTGTGTGTGTGTGTGTACCATGTGTAGATTTGAAACAAAGCAAGTCTAAATTCAAGCTGTGTGTGTACCATGTGTCTGAGGAAGCCTTGGGGCTTCAGAGCCCCTGGAGCTGGGGTTACAAACACCTGTGAGCTGCCTGATGTGGATTCTTGGAACCAAACCAAGGTCCTCTGCAAGAGCAGCTCTTACCCATCTCGCTAAACCTTTTGGTCAGATTTATTTTTCTAATTACTTTTGTTTTATGTGTGGTATTTTGCCTGCATTTAAGTGTACCTGTGTCATGCAATACCCACAGATGCCAGAAGAGGGCATTGGATCCCTTGGGACTTGTTAGCCACTACATGGGTACTGGGAACCAAATTCTGGTCCTCTACAAGAACAACTAATGCTCTTAATCTCTGAGCCATCTCTCCAACCCCTTGTCAGATTTCTTGATGATACCCATTGTGACTGGAGTGAGGTGGTATTTCAAAGTAGTTTTAATTTGCATTTCCCTGATGATTAGGGATGTTGAGCACTTTAAAAAATAGTAACTGGTCATTTATGTTTTCTCTCTTAAGAATTTTTATTTCATTAGCCCATTTGTTGATAAACAGTTTCATTTCCTTGGTGTTTATGTAAAGATTTTCTCCCATTCTATAGGCCATCTGTGTATTCTGCTGATAGTTTATATTGCTGAGCAGAAACAAATTTCATGTAGTCCCCACTGTTGATTCCAGTGTTACTGGAGTTTTGTTCAGAAAGTTCCTGCCTGCCTTAATATCTTGAAGAGTATTCCCTGTTTTCCTCTATCAGTTTTCAGTGTTTCAGGTTTTAAGTTAAATAAATCTTTGATCCACATGGAGTTAATTTTCGTACAGGATGAAAGACGTGGATCTAATTTCATTCTTCTGCAAGTGGATATCCAGTTTTACCATTGTTGAAGAGGCTACCTTTTTTCCATTGCATATCTTTGTGTCTTTTATCAAAAATTAGGTGGCCCCTGGGCATGGTGGCACATACTTTTAATCCCAGCACTCTGGAGGCAGAGGCAGGCAGACCTCCATAAATTCGAGGCCACCCTGGTCTACATAGCGAGTTCCAGGCCAGCTAGGGCTACAGGGAGAACCTGTCTCAAAAAAAAAAAAAAAATCCTCTATTCTGCCCCGTTCTTTCTGGTTTTTTGACAGTACCAGGCTGTCTTTGCCACTATAGCTCTGTAGTGTAATTTGAGGTCAGGTAGTATGAGTCCTCCAACTGTGTTCTTATTCCTTAGGATTGCTTTGGCTGTCCATGGTCTTTTGTAGTTCCATATGAGTTCTTGGATTGTTTTTCTAGGTCTGTGAAGGATGACATTGAAATTTTGATGGCATTGCTTTAAATCTGTAGATTAACTTCGGAACTATAGCCACTTTCGTGATACTCTGGAAGGTCTTTCCATCATCTAGTGTCTTCTTTTTTTTCTTCTTCTTTTTGAGACAGGCAGCTACAGCTGGTAGCCACAGTTAGCCTGAAACTTGCTATGGAAATCAAGCTGGCCCTGATCTCACAGAGATCCAGTCTCACAGAAATTCACTCGCCTCTACCTCCCTAGTGAAATTAAAGGCCTGGGCCGATTTCCTTTTTCCTTTTTCAATGACTTGAAGTTTTCATTGTAGAGATTTTTTATTTGATTTCTTGAGCTGTTATGAGTCTTGTTTTTGTTTTGTTTTGTTTTGTTTTGAGTCAGGGGCTCCCTATAGCCCCTGCTGGCCTAGAACTCACTATGTAGATCAGGCTGGCCTGGGTCTCACAGAGATCCACCTGCCTCTGGCTGGTCCTAACTTGTTATATGCCCAACACAGCTGGAGAGATGGCTCAATGGTTAAAAGCACTGACTCCTCTTGCAGAAGACTTGGGTTCAGTTCCCAGCGCCCATATGGTGGCTACCAACTGTCTGTAACTCCAGTTCCATGGAATCTGACACCCTCTTCTGGCTTCCCTGGTCACCAGGCACACACATAGGTGCAGGCAAAAATACCTGTACACAGGGCCAGAGAGGTGGCTCAGTGGTTAAGAGGACTGACTGCTCTTACAGAGGACCTAGTTTCAATCCCCAGCACCCACATGAGGATGAATAACTATCCATAACTCCAGTTCCAGGGGATCAGACATCCTCTTCTGACCACCACAGGCATTGTATGGCACAGGTACACTTAAATACATGCAAACAGTACACTCATACATATAAAAATAAAAATGAAAAATATTTTTAAAGTTGTATGCATAAAATAAAAATAATCTTTTTAAAAAGAAGATATACAATTGTAAACAATTATGCACCAAATATTGGAGCCCCTAGTTTCATAAAACAAACACTAATAAGAAGGAAAGGCCACATAGGTCCTGACAGATATGAGCAAGTAACTTCAATATCCCACCCTTCTATTTAGATAGTTATTCCAAACTAAAAATAAGCAAAGAAGTCTCAGAGCTAAAATACACTATAGATCAACTGGGCTTCACAGATATATACAGAATATTCCATCCAACAGATAGGGAACACACATTCTTCTCAGCAACAAATGGAACCTTCCCCCAAATTGATCACATTATAGCTCACAAATCAAGCCTTAAGAAACATATTAAAAGCCGGGCGTGGTGGTGCATGCCTGTAGTCCCAGCACTTGGGAGGCAGAGACAGGTGGATCTCTGTGAGTTCAAGGCCAGCCTGGTCTACATAGTGAGTTCCAGGACAGCTGGGACTACAGGGAGACCCTGCTTCAAAAAGACCAAAAAAAGAAACATTTAAAAATCGTCAATTCTTTATATCAAATCAGACCATAATGGAGTAAAAATAGATGTTAACAGCAAGAGAAAGTACAGAAACTACAAAAATACTTGGAGACTAGGGTCTAGAGAAATGGCTCAGCAGTTAAGAACACTAGCTGATCTTGCAGAGGACCCCCAGGTTTGGTTCCCAGCACCCACATGGTAGC